AGCCTATGTGCACAGATTTGTAATTTTGGTCTCCACTGCATATATCTGAAAATGAATTGTGTCCTAGAACTCCATGCCAAAAATTAGAGGTGTAAATTGGCTGGGTTGGTCTGGGGCAGACTAATTATACAGGTTTGAGGGAGCTTTTTTTCTGTGCTGTTGTCCTTGGAAGAAAATTGACTGAATTCCAACTTGCAAAATTAGGGAACATGACTGTGCATTTGAAGCCCACGTTGACTGATCATGTACCTTCTTTCTTAATTAATAAGTTTCCTGGAGTGTGTGGAAGACAACTTCATAACACAATGGGTAAATGAGCCTACCAGAGGAGGTGTCCTGATAGACCTGGCGTTTGAAAAGAAAGGAGTAGTGGGGGACATAGTAGTAGGTGGACATCATGGCCATAGTGACCACAAAATGCTAAAGTTTTCTATAGTGGGTGGTGTAATGAGGACCAGCAACATAATTTCCACCTTGGACTTTTGGCAGGGAGACTTTCACCTGTTTAGGACATTGATTGATGGAGTCCCTTGGGAATCAGTCCTGAATGGTAAAGTAGTTCAGAAAGGTTGGGAGTGTTTCAAGAAAGAATTGTGAAACATTCAGCAGCAGACTGTCCCTTTGTGTAGAAAGTCAAGTCATCAAGGAAAAAGACCAGCCTGGTTCAACAGAGAAATTAGGCTGAAGCTTTGGAAAAAAAGAAAATGTATCATCTCTGGAAGGAGGGTCTGGCAAGTTGGGAAGACGACTATAAGGATGACGAGAGCTCATGTAGGGAGACGATTAGGAGGGCCAAAGCCCAGATGGAACTTGATTTGGCTGTTCAAGTCAAGGACAACAAAAGAAGTTTTTATAAATACATTGGGAGCAAAAGGAGTGTGTCCATCAGTCAATAAATGCAGAAGGTAGTGTAGTGGTAAGGGATGCGGATAAGGCAGAGCTACTCAATGCCTTTCTTTGCCTCTGTCTTCAATGTCAAGACCAGTTGTCCTCAGGATACCCAGCTCCTAGAGCTTGAAGTTGGTGATGGAGAGATGAGTGAAGCACCCATAATCCAAAAGGAGATGGTTAATGACCTGCTATGCCAAATGTATGCTCACAAGTCCATGGGTCCTGATGAAATCCAATGAAGGATAATGAGGGAACTGTCAAAAGAACTCACTAAACTATTTACAATCATATACCAGCAGACCTGGATAACTGGAGAAGTTCTGGCTGACTGGAAATTAGCAAATGTGACACCCATCTATAAGAAGGGTCAGAAGGAGGATCTAGAGAACTACAGGCCTGTAAGCCTAACCTCAGGTCTGGGCAAGGTCATGGAGGAGATCATCCTGACTGCACCCTCAGTAAATCTGCAGACAACACTAAGTTGAGTGGGAGTGTTGACCTGCCTGAGGGTAGGAAAGCTCTACAGAGAGACCTGGACCAACTTGATCCATGAGCGGTGGACAACTGCATAAGGTTCAACAAGGCGAAGTACCAGATCCTGCACTTCGGGCACAATAACCCCATGCAGTGCTACAGGGGTAAGAGCAGCTTGAGAGTTCATCAGAAAGGGACTTGGGAGTGCTGTGGACAGCTGGCTCAACGTGAGCCAACAGTATGCACAGGCGGCACCTTGGCCTGGATCAAGAATAGTGCAGCCAGCAGGACTAGGGAAGTGATCATCCCCCTGTATGCAGCACTGGTGAGGCCACACCTCAAGTACTGTATTCAATTTTGGACCCCTCAATTTAAACAGGACCTTGAGGCACTAGAGCGAGTCCAGCAAAGGGCAAAGAGGCTCATAAAAGGTCTAGAAAACATGTCTTATGAGGAACAGCTGAGGGAATTGGGTTTATTTAGCCTTGAGAAGAGGCAGCTCAGGAGTGACCTCATTGCTCTCTACAACTACCTGAAAGGGGGTTGTGGGAAGGTGGGGGATGGTCTCTTGTGCCGTACCTGAAATGAGAGGGCTAGAGGAAATGGTCATAAACTGAGATGGGACAGATTCAGATTGGATGTTAGGAAAACATGTTTTCACTGTTAGGGTAGTCAGGAACTGGAATAGATTGCCCAGGGAGATGGTGGAGTCACCACTCCTGGAAGTGTTTAAGAGGCATCTGAATGTGGTGCTGGAGGATGTGGTTTAGAGTTTAGGGGTTACAGCAGAGTGGCAGGTTAATGGTTGGACTTGATGACCGTAGAGGTCTCCTCTAACCTTGATGATTCTACAAGACTATGATTCTATGAATTCCTAGTCTTACCCATGATAAAAGTCCTTTTCTAAGACTGTCTGATGTTGTACTGGACAGGTGCAATGCCATTCAAATCTGTGGAAGCAGTGATTGTGCCCAAAATGGTAGCATGACCTATGCATCATATATGCCTCTTGGTGTATTTCACAGTAAAGAGACATAACAAAGCCAAAATATTTGACACCTATTCTGTTAGCTTCAGCAGTACTTACAAAATCTGTGTTTCTGACCTAGCCATAGAAAAAGCTGAAAGTGCAGTATGCTGGAGAATAGCATTTAATGGGTTCATTTATCAAGATTCCCAGTAACTGATAATATTGATGTGTTTTACACTGATATTGGACAATTTGGTTTCAGATCACATATGATTTAAAGTGTCCTAAGTTACTGCAAAATATTTGGTCTGAACTGAGGTTTTGTGCTTTTCACTGGATCAAGAGGTAGTGAAACATACAGAAAGCTGATTCATAGCTTGAGACCACAGAAACATTCCCATCTGATGGGTTTGCACAGCTCTTCTCAGATGTAAAACGAGTGTTATTCATCTCTGACCAGACTGTACAATTCCTCTTAACATAATTTGGTATTTAAAGTATCAGATGATACTATCTATATGTCTGTAATTTTATCAGTATGGGCCATGCATTCACCATTTATGTGTGAACTCAGAATTGCCCAATAATTAGGTTGTCACAAATAGTGCTGCAAAGGCTTTTTGATAGCTCCTCACCAGACAGAATAGTTTAACCAATCTGCCCTTAGATACTTCAGTAGCAATTATTCCTGCTTGGACCACAAAGAGCCTTCCAGATTCCATGGAAAAACAAGCTGTTTCCATGAGGGGATGACGCTCTCAGTAAGACTTCCAAGTTTCTTGAGAAAGAAGACAGCATACAACTCCTGTAATGTGTAATAAGCCTGAGACACTCAAGAGGAGGCTTCTGACCATGCTGCTAATTAACATACCTTCTGAGTTGCTGAAATTTCAGCAAACCTGCCAGACTTTGCTCCTGCACTCATGAGCGTGTTCTAAAAATACAACTGGGAAGAGAGAAAATATTTCCCATGTTGTCATGAACATTAATTCAGTGTTTTGAAAATACTTAAAATATGGCTGATTTTGCAGCTACTTCCAGGCTTTTATGTCTGCATCGGAATCCTGCAAACATGCATATAATACATGTTGCACATGTGTACACCCACGTGTGAGCAGAGCAAGGCAGATCCACAGAGACAGAGATTTGCATTCATTTCATCATATTCATTTAATTGTCCTTAGTTTACTGGAGAAAACAAGGGTTTTTTTGCTAATGTAACTGCAGTTATACTTAGTGAAAATTAAGTTCTCGTTCTCATCTTTATCATTGCATATAATGAAGTAATTTCAGTAATGCACATGTCAACGGATTGTTGGTGATAGCGTATCCTTCAGAAGGAATACAAATAGACTCCACTGACCCTGGAGTGCTAAGAGTAATATGAAACTTACTCTGACTTGTAAACTGAGCAAACATGACATGGAGATCACAAAATAAGGGCATATATGCATCTTTCAGCCTTGTTTTGACAAAGTGACTTCTTTCTCCAGAGGGACATTTCTGCCATATTTTTCCAGCATGTTTCACCTTTCACTGACTATTAATCCCGGTATGACTTAACTTCAAATTATGATTCACACCTCTAAAATCACAGGACTGAATTCTTAAATTTCTTCCATCATTTATTTGCGTACACAGTTAGCATTCAGCATATCTAAGAAAATAGAGGTATGTAAAACAACTGAGCAAATTGAATTTAATCAAATGTAGCAAGTAACATATATTAGAACAAAGACTATTTTTAAAATTCACATTCATCAATGTGACGATATTAGCTTTTACTGCTTGCAACTTTAAGAAATCAGGGCAGACCATAACATTTTTGAAAATCTGTGCAGTTTCTATTCTATGCAGTATTCTTACAGCTTTAATAAGATAACTTCCCTGTGTCTGATGCACTCTAATATTTATATAGACATTAGTTTTAGACAGAATTTTTAGAACCTTACAAATTGGATTACTAAAGAAAGTTTTGCTAAAAGTGAAATTATTCAGAGTATTCTTGTTTCTCTTAATGCATGGCTCATGTAACACGTTTGATGGCATGGATAGCACAGACTACTTCAAAATAAAGGCACAGCAACTAGCGTATTTGTTCCAGCAGAACAGCCGAGGATGGGGTTTAGCCTCTTCATCATGTTAGCTAACTGATAAAGCACTATTAGCAATATTGACATGTATATTAAAGGACACTGGAATTCTTATCCTTGGTTTGCAAAAGGGAAAATGAGACATGTCAAAGATCACTGCAGACTTTTGCTGGAACCCACCCTCCTGAATTTGTTTTCAACTAGGCCATCAGATTTGAGGAAAATAGTAGCAGCTGCTTAAGTGAATAAATGTATCAGGCTTAGTTGTCTTTGTTGTGTAGGTTATTAGGTCAGTGATGCCAGTTCCAAGTTTGGAAAAATGAAAATTCCATGCTAGACCAGGAAACAGAGGACCTAAATTCTTTTTTTATTTTTTACGATGTTGAAGAAAAAGTGTAAGGTAAAAGGGATTAATTATTTTTCTAGTGTGATAACCAAACTCCATTTCAAGGGCAATTTGGTGGTCCAGATATGTGTTTTCCTATGGTGTGACTCTTAAACAGACTTAAGGGGGTAGAACAGCTGCATTTAGTATCTTCTAAGTATTGTCTGATTTTTGTTTTTCTCAACAGAGCTACAGTGAACCTGTTGATGTTAAAGCCTCCCCACAACCTCAGATGATGAATTCAAAGCAGTCAGTGTTTCATGGGCCCACCCAGGCTCACTCTGCACTGTACCTCAGTTCCCACTACCACCAACAACCAGGAATGAATCCTCACATCACTGCCATGCATGCCAATATCCCCAGGAACATAGCACCCAAGCCCAACAACCAAATGCCAGTGACTGTTTCCATAGCAAACATGGCTGTGTCCCCACCACCACCTCTTCAGATCAGCCCCCCTCTGCACCAGCATCTCAACATCCAGCAACACCAGCCGATTTCAATGCAGCAGTCCCTTGGAAACCAGCTACCAATGCAGGTCCAGTCTGCTTTACATTCACCTACAATGCAACAAGTAAGTTTGAACTTTTCAGCTGTCTGAGAAATTATTTTATTTTGGGGTCAGGGGAATGGGGAGGGGAGTCATCCAGAAGCTGATGTAGTGAGGGAGGTTTAGATCATTTTGCAGCTTCCAAAATCATGGTAGTATAGGCTTAGTCTTTTCAAAGGCAAGAATAAATGAATGAGTTTACCTAGATGATGAAGAACATAAGTAGAACTGTTTGTCCTAGTGATGGTGTTCATCGTTGTCTATAGATCCATTCATAAATCTGGGAGTACGTCAAAATGTAAGTGAAATGTTATATCTTCAGGAAACACATTTTCCAAGCACAAGGCAGTATGTCTAGGAAGATATGATTGTAGCTTGTGCTGTTACCCTTCTGCTGACTGTGACATGGGAGGGAACATAAAGCAACACAAGTTCTGTTGAACATGCTAGATTAAGTGAACACAAGTATGTTAGTTTATGCTGTGTTCATATTTTGCTAGATAGATATACCTTCTTTGTACTGGAAATAAGTGGGCTGTGTCCATCATCCCAACAAGGTGGCTTTTTTGTTTAGTTGGTTGTTTTTTCACTCTCAGTGTTTTAGATAGTTGATTCTCAATATATTTCCTAGGAGTTCTGAATGAATACAGATCAACTATGGTATTGTGATTTCAGGCCCAGGCTTATGGAGGGCTGGAGCAGATAAACTGTTGATTTCAAGAGAGAACATTTCCTTTTGTATTGCATGAAATCTGACTATCAGTAATAAGAACTTGCTTTGCGAAATAGCATTAGAATGACATTTTTTTGAATGGAATTGCAAGAATCTACAAAATTTGTATACACAAAACTTGTCAGTTTTGGCTGATAATACATAGTCATGAACTTGCTGCACATTTTAAAATTCACCTTTGCTAAAAAGGCATTTGCATTTGCTTGCCAAGCCAGAAACATTTCATCCCAAGATTGGTCTTTAGAGATGGGAATACTTGAACACAAACCATAGCTTTTTGCTGGGAGAACAATTTTGCAGGAAAAGAAATTTCCAAAGCAAAAAAAAACCCAAAACAAATAAAAGAGTTGAAAGCAATCTGGACTGATAAATTTAGTTGTTCAGAAGGTAAACCAAAATGTGCACAGGATGATTTGGATTTTTTTCAGAGGCTTGATCTTAGTCTCAAGAGTGATTTGGAGTAATCAGAAAGGAAAAGCAAAAATCATAAAGTGTTTACAACTTTTTACTAGTCCAGTTTATTTTTCACAATCAGCATAAACAGGCTCAGCAGACTCATGATCACACATATGTGGAGCTGTGTATTCCTGAAGGTTTTCCTATTAGTTAATGTGAGTGTCCTGGGAGAGCCCATGCTCAAGTCTCAGAGAAACTCAGGAGTTAACCTCAAGCCTGAGCAGCTAGAATTAGGTAGAGGAAGTCCTAGACAGGTGAGCCAGGATGGTCTGGTTGGAGATCCTAATCCTCATGGAATCTCTCACTCTCTGAGCCTGTTGAAGGCTCAGAGCAGTGAGAGACAAAGCAATACCCTGGTTCATTTACCAAACATGAAAAATTACATCTGTGACAGCAACCTGTTGAGACTGTGTAGCTATATTTCAGGGAGTTTTTATTGCAACGTGATTCAGTCCTCTAAGTCCAGATTGTTTGCTAAGTTCAGTGTCACTTGCACATTACTTGTTTAATGCAGACCTATAGAAGATTAAACCCCTTATGTTATTTCTAGAATCATTGCTAGGCATAATTTACTGAATAGATTTGAAAATCTGGCTCTATTTATTGAATTAATGGTACAGTAGTGAAAGATGTAATGCAAATATTACTTACATATTTATACATAGAACGTCAATATTTTATGAATCCAAGCACTTAGGTGTTATTCTAAACCATTACATACTACCAAAAAAAAACGTAGCATAATAGGAATATTCTAATGTTGTATTTTATCATGCTGCATGCTTGTAGCATATGGTATGTGCATCAATGGATTGAGAGCACTTTCAGTCATCTGTGAGATGTGTAGCGTTTAGTTGAGTTGCTTCTAGCTTGAGAGAAAATACAGGACACAAGGTTGTAGAAAACAGGTCTCTAGAAGTCAGTATGTATCTTGTATCATGATGAGTCTTTTGTTTACTAAGTACAATTACAGTTAAGTAAAAGCTGTTTTACCTCTGTGTTCCTGTTCTCCATGGTTGAAGTCATTACATTTCAGGTTCAATACTTTTTGTGAACTCATATTCCTTAGTCAGAAAAATGATGCTTCTAATGAAGATATCATCATGAGATATTTCTAAGTTTCACTCAGGGTAACTTGTTGAAATGCTACACTGCCAATCTACATGTCTGTTTAAGCACTGTGGAACATCTGCAAGCCAATTTATATTTCTTACGCTTCTGATTTTGTTTCAAAATAATACAACTTTGGAGCTCTGGAAAATCTATGTCATTTCACTTTGGAATATTGGTAATTATTTTTAATTATTTTTTTTAGTGTACAACAGTTTATAGATTTTGTGATTTGAATTTAAATATAGAATCCATTTCCTTTGATGCTGGCAAAGACAAAGCAAAATGTATGTTACATCTTAGGGCAACAGGTGTACTAACAACATTATCATTTGCTGTGACAGAACAGAACAGGAGTCTCCTGTTCAGTTTCTTAGTTACAACTCTTTCTAGTCATACTCAAGAAATGATGGAAAACACTATCCCCAGGATTTCATACTGTGTTAGAACACAAAGGACAGGTTGGCCACCAGAAGGCAAAGAGCAAAAGGTCAAGACACTATAACCTGAAAGTAAAGTCGTCTTTCTTAGTCAGTTGTCAGAGGAATCTGCTCTCCCCTCTGCTTGAAATTGAGCAAACACTCTGCTGATCACTGAGCATATTAAAGAGGAAAAGATGTAGTGGGGGGGAAAGAAGTGAGCTTTCCAAACAATAGCAGCAGCAGAGTCAACAGCAGTGAAGGAAAAGAGGCACCACACTGTATGTGTAACCCTTGGTGAGGAGGGAAGGGGAACTCTGGATGCGAGGTTCAGTCTCAAGCAGCACCGTGTAAACCACTCTGCTACATAAAAAGACAGCCAAGAAGAATGGGAGAACATGTATTCTGATAAATCAGAAGCAATAGTTGCTTTGAATTCAACTTTTTTTTGCTTCCTTTTTCCTCAAGCTGTTTTGTTTCCTCCATGCTTAAAGTGTGGCCACCTTAAGCCTTTCATAAGTCTCAATATAAGCCGCAAGAACAGAAACCAGTTAGCATCCCACTCCCTACAGAGTGACTTGCAACAGGAGATACTTTCCTCTTTGGGAGACTCAGCACTGCTTATTCCAAACAGACTAATACACTTTAAGATGAACTGAGGCAATTTTTCTCATGTCACAATGCAGCATGAAACTTAATGGGCAAGAGGAGGGTAAGTCTGCCAATAGCTTCCTAGCAGTCATTGGCCTGACTGGCTGGACACCATCATTGCGGGCTGTGCTGTAGGCATGTTAGAAGCAGCAATCACTGCTCCCAATGATGGTGGGTTCCTTTTTTTTCTTTCTTCTTTTCCCCAACATCCAGCTTTGAAATATTTCATGTCTTACTAGTGTCACACTCAACAGTAGCAGGCTCTGTGAATCCCTGCTCTGATCAGATCCCCTGCTTAAACTGTGGCTCTGGGACATTTGGTCATTCAGTTTCTCCAGGGAAGGGAGGATAATTTCATATCAAAGACTGCCTTGTAGTGTGTCTGAAGGACTGCCAGCTCCAAGAAAAATCACATAAAGATCCAAATTTCAGTCCTGGCAGGCAGGAACACAGTTCTCCAAAAACCACTGTGCATGAAATCCACAAACTCTTCTGTGCGTAACTTTGAGGAGGGACTGATAAGAAGTGCTGACCTCAGGAGAGAGTTCTGCCCCCATTGCTTCCAGGACAATGAGCTGATCTTCATCAGCTCCACAGGGAACAGCATGTCCTTCTCCACATCCAGCACTCCTTGCCTGCACGTGTGCAGCTGCCAAATCAAAAGAGACTGCCAGCTGGAAAAGGGCAGTCTCCATGAGTCCACAGAAATTACAGAACATCAAGAAGATCAGAAGTGTTGGTAGCCAAAAATCCTCAGTGACTGCACAATTTCTGTTATTTTTAAAATCAATTAACTCTGTGGAGTATGCAGCTGATGCGATGCATCCAAATTGTTCTGAAATACACAAGGCAATGTAAAATTTTGGTATTAGCATTTTGGTCATATGCCTAGCATTAGTAAATATTTTTTACTTTCTTTTAAATAATCTTCTCTATTTTGAGTTATCTAAATTGTAACTTCTGTGAAGTTTCATGACAGAAGTTTCCCTTCCAAAACAGTTCCCAAACAGTTAATGAATACATTAAATAATGGCCACTACTGTAGATCTTTGGGGTGTTTGTTTACAGTGATAATCCTTTAAACTGTAAAAAAATGACCATTTAGTTCTATTCTCAGGTTGGTACTAGATGATCTGTAAGGTCCATTTCAACTCTTAAATTTTATGATTCTATGATTAAATCAGATATTGATTTTTGTTACCTTTAACTTCTAATTCTTAAATACATCATATTTTTTCTTAAATATACTATATTTTTCTTAAATATTGCTAACAGAAATTGTGCTATAGTTTTACTTTTCCAAGTCAAAATCCACTGTGCAGTGGCTTTTCTTTCATCCAGTCTTGACACACAGGAAGACTCAGTATAGGTTAGAAGAGTGTGATTTTTCTTTCGTTAAATGCTCATGTGAGCATCTTATCACTGTATTATTTGTTAACTCATACAGAGTTGATTCTCTCCATGTTTGTTTTTTAGGTTTGACATGACGTTTAGTTTTTACTTGGTTGTCATTAAATGATCTGATTCACTCCCTCCCCAAATATGCCCAGTCCTTTTTAAGGAGCCCTTTGAAGTAGCCCTACTGGAAGCATCACCTTCCCTGCTCAAAATCCTTCACGCAAGGATTGTGTGGGATGGCAGGTCCCATTACAGTCTCTGTCCCATTTCAGTTCACAGGTAGAGCAAGCAGAACTAGATTCTTAATGTCTAGTAACCATGGCTGCAAGTGCATATGCATAACAAAGAAGCAGAAGATTAATGTATGTCACATTTCATTATTTTATTTTTTTTAATAATAACTTGTTTCAGTCTACTTTTAGGTATTTCTTTTCCTTTAGAAAATATATGTATACAGCAAGACGATTGTACAGTCTGCCAAAAATAATAGCCCCATTTTTTCTGGTATATATTTTATATAAAGCGAACTTAGGGACCTGCTGTATTTGTCCAGATTTCTTCTTTTTTTATGTTAAGCTTTGTCCTCGAATGAGGTCAAGAGAAAAAAAAATCATTAATATCTGTCAACTCTCTTTATAACCTTAAGGAAAAATCTTTGTATGATATCGCACAGACAGATTTTCAATTTCCTTGTGTAATAAACAGATGCTTTAGGATTTGGATTTAATTTAAAGGTTTAAAATATCACATTGAGATTGATGAATAAATCAGTTGTGAAGACAAAAACATTGATGCCTGTTGAAAATACCTCTCCAGACAGGCAGGAAATGAAATTAGTTCCTAGTAAAGTGTGGAGATGAGGATCACTCTTTAGTTCTGCTGCAGGCTTTTTAGGACTTGCTACAGTGGCACAACGAAACTGCTAGGGCTACAGAAATCTAATTAAAGAGCAAATGTCCCTCCTGACATCGAATTAATCTTTATCAAGTTCCCTATTTTTGTTTCAATCTGGAACAAGAAAATGAAATTTAAAATTCTAGGCATGTTGCAAAACAGTTGGTGATTTTCTCTTGAGCATTACAATGCAAAAACATTCAGCATTGTTTAATTAGACCTCGAAGCACTCATTTTCTGAGCACTTTTTATTTCATCATTGTTTGTAAAGGGCTTACATAAATAATACACAAATATTTACCACAAGGCTGGTACAAGGCTCTCTCCCTCTGTTGTACAGCTCTAGATTTCCAGAGCTTTTTCTGCTGATGAAAAAGCTAAAGTAATTATTGTTTGTATCAAACGTTACCATACTCTATCAGTCCCTCGTACTGAGTTCAGGTTGCTAAAATTACTTTGCCTTAACAAGCCTGCTTTCCAACACCCACATTGCAGGTATTCTGGTAGCCCTCAACCTCCCAAAGGGACCCCTGAGCTGCTTCTGGAGCTGGAGCCTGGCTCAGATACCCCTGCCCCATGTTAAAATGTATCACCTGAGCGTGTCCTAAGAAACAGGCCTGAATCCCAGCAGTAATAAACTACATAGACTTGCCAGGTACAAGATAGAATAATTAAATTTGAACCCGTGTTCCCAACCTTAACATGAAGAGGTACCAATTCATCCAAGCGCATGTGCACATGTGCTTCACTGGAAGAGAGCCAAAGCAATTTGGCTGTGGTTACACAGAGAACCCTAGAAACATACGATTTAAGTCCCCACCCGGTTCCAAGTTACAATTTAAACCATAGGACCATTCGACATCTAAGGTATTTATTTGTTCTAACTCCAGAAAAAATGGAATGGATATTGCACTGATGGTTTCTTCCTCTGATTTGGAGTAACTGTTTCTTCTTGCTGAATGAGTGTTGCCCAGAGAAGTTGTGGATGTCCCTTCCATAGATGTGTTCAAGGCTAGATTGCATGGATCTCTCAGCAACCTGGTGTAGTAGATGTCCCTGACCATGGCAGGGGGGTTGGATCTTTAAGGTCCTTTCTAACCCAAACCATTCTATGATTTTATGAGTACTTGAGCACTTGCAGGCATCACTACTGGCTACTGTCCCTATATAGTGTTTTTCTTATAGATATATGATTGTTTCATGAAGACTGATAAGAGATACATCAGGTGCTTTTCTACCAAGGGTAAATCTGAGTGCCTGAGAGTAGTGTGTTTCTGTGGTTGGTTTCCTCTTACAGCTAAATTAGAAAGGCCTTATGGGTGATGTTTTGTATAAAAATGATGATGGTATACAAACCCAGATTTTCTGCCTTCTAATTACACAAAACTCCAATTCAAGTCATAGGGAGATCTGCTCAATTAGTTTCCTTTGGATTTGTTACAGGCATGGGAGTTGTCTATGCAGCTTACTGTGCAAGTTTAGAGCCAGGTGTAAAGGCAGTGTACAGAGCATGGTGGGGTTACAGTCACCATGGGTGCAAAACCCACCATGGGGGGATTTTATTTAATTTTATTAGCAGGGTAGTACGTATGTTACATGGCAACTAGATGCAGAATTCAGCTGTGAACTTGCTTACCACTATTAGTCTGTTTCTTGGAGTCAACAGGGTCAAAATGAGCCTGTAAAGAGTGTTTAAGGTACCGAAGTGGTACTCAGGATATTCTACAAATGGAAAAGACTAAGGAAGAAAGTTGCAATCATTAATGGCCTAGACTAAAATCCATAATCAGGATGAGTGGAGTGAGGTGATGGTGCACACGAGAGTCAGGGAAGAACAGCTGCAGAACCTTGGGGAAGAGCCAAGGAAGAGGGATGTGAAGAAGGAATTGACATGTTACATTTGAAGGAAGCTAATTTCTGTGGATGGAGGGGGCCAGGTCAAGACTGAGAATACTCATTTATCTTGACAAAAGGTAGCATGGCTGATTTCTTAAACATGTAGAAAAAAAAATGTCTACAAAATTCCTGACCTAATGAAGGCTGTTTATAAGAAGCAATCACACACAATGCACTAAAACTAAAAGCTATGAGTATTAATTCTATCTATTCTGTATGTGGGCTTTGGCTGGAAGGAGTGAGTTTTCAACCTAAGTATCTTGATTAAAGTTCAGTTTCTGATTTAGCAGCTACACATCCAGTTATCTTGAGTGGGAATTGTATGCCCTTGCCCCAGGAAGGAGTTTGGTCTGCTTTTTTTCAGCAGGCATCAACTGCTTTCATACAGCATTCCCATACTTTTATCCAATGTACTTCTTCTAACTTTACAGGAACACGATGTACATTTATACAGGGTGAACCAGATATACTAGCCTTGAAATTTCAATTGTTCTCTTGGGTTTGAAACACAATATTTAAACATCCCATATATCAAAAGAACTAAAAATTATTATGACTTTTCATATGACAGATATTTCAGGGAGCAGGTTAGATGTCTCTTTGGAACTTCCACTTTCTTTTCTTGTCTCCTCAGTTTCTAAAAAAGCAAGTTATTCTGTGCTACTTTCACTACATTAGTCCAACAACTGTCAAAAAGCTTTGGTTGAATTTCCGTTTAGTTGAGAGAGAAGTGCAAATAAAAGAAGCAGCAGATGGTCCCTTTGTGACTGAATGAAGAAAAAGGGTTTTGAGAACAATACGTGAATAGGTGTAGTCTAATAAAACAGTCAGCCACCTGCTGCCTGCATCCTTCAAAAAGATTCTGTTGCATATTCTGGGAATTAGTGACTAGTGTGTATCCTTACATTTAATCTCAATGGAAGCTCTAAGGAGCAAACAGACTTTTTTGTCCCAGTGCTGATTGAGTTGTTCTCTTGGTTCTGAATTGTTTCTGCTCTCTTTTAGTTCCATCCTGTAACTGTGCAGCAGTTAACAGTGGTTTGGCAATTTCATTTCTCAAACCAAAGAAATATTTTAAAACTTAGGAAGCACCTACACATTTTTGCCTATTTTAGGTTTTATAACCTAAAGCACACCTGGAAAAGAAGTAGTCTACCGTTTGACAGTACACACTGCATTGTTTTTTTTATGCACCCAAGCTGTTAGTTTGTTTCCATACTTTGTAATATACTTGCTTTCTCCTCTAGGGATTTACTCTTCAGCCTGATTATCAGAATATCATCAATCCAACATCAACAGCTGCACAAGTTGTTACCCAAGCAATGGAGTATGTTCGTTCAGGATGCAGAAATCCTCCAGCACAGACTGTGGACTGGAATAATGACTACTGCAGTAATGGGTAAGCAGCCACTGAATGCCACCTTGTGTTGAGCAACATTCATGACACAAGTATCTGACAGAATTTGGGAACAGGGTTGTTGCCTCTATCAGAAGTGCTGGTACTGTATTTACTCAGCAGTTAGACTGTTCTGTGAGAACAAGTTTTCAATACAGACATTTATTAGTCATTGTTGTCACCTTATCACAGCACATATACCTTGTAGTTTGTAGAGAACTTCCATTCCTTAGAAAATCAGAACTGAAATTTTAGGGAGAAGGTGTAAGAAAGAAGTTTTAAGATCAGCTCCTCCTCCTCGAGGTACTGTATTTACTCAGCAGTTAGACTGTTCTGTGAGAACAAGTTTTCAATACAGACATTTATTAGTCATTGTTGTCACCTTATCACAGCACATATACCTTGTAGTTTGTAGAGAACTTCCATTCCTTAGAAAATCAGAACTGAAATTTTAGGGAGAAGGTGTAAGAAAGAAGTTTTAAGATCAGCTCCTCCTCCTCGAGAGGTAAATGGCATGAAATATTTTCTCCAAATACTCCATTGCTGAGGAAAGCTTGTTGCCAGTGAAAATAAGTAGTCTGGGTCATGAAAAACAACATCAGTGAGAGGCAAGGCTGATGCATGGGATACAAGATACATGGATGGGAATGTAACCAGAAACAAAACAGTGTACCTGTAGGAGCTCTGTGCCCCTATCATAAGGTTAGTAAGCCCTTCCAACCCTCAACTCCTCTGCAGCATGGTTTTTGTGGAGCCACGTTACTGTCCCAGGAACTGCCTGGAAACATTTAAGACTTTGAACAGAAGGTATCTTTTCAGTTTTAAATGATAGATGTTGTGCCTCATGAACATGTCCACCAGTCTGACCTCCCCTTGACCTTGGAATGAATGCCCAAGACAAAGGGAGATAACAGCCACCAAAGTGCCAAATCTAGCCCTGACAAATGAACATGAAGCAGAACTAGAGACCGATTCATCCATTATATTTACTTAAACAGAGAATTTCACTTGCATTGTTGTTTTAAAGTGTTTCTGGAACTCAAACTAGAACTGAACAAAAATCTTTTTTGGTTACTAGTTTAGAATAACACTTTGACTACAACCTGCTGACACTGAGGCAGACTTTAGTCTGTACAGTAGCATCACTTTCCTCCATACCTATCACTGTTGCCCCATAACTTGCCCACTTGTTCAGCAGAACAGTCTCACTTCTGTGCTGTACCACCATCATGTCTTGACTAGTGTGCTGCAGGCCCTTATAGGAGTCTATCCAGGCCACAGACTTATAACTACTTATACTGAGCTCTGAATAGACTGTTCTCTGTCAAACAAGCCATAGCCACCTGTGGCTTTGATTCCTGGTGTCTTCTGGAAAAAGCAATGTATGATCATTCCCAGCAGCGTCCTCCAGGTGCCCACTGGGCATAGCTTTCCACCAGCAGCAACTTTCTCTGAGCAGACCCTGTATATACTCTCTGTAGATGTGCCTTTGTGAATCTGCATGGACTTAACCTATCTTTGCTATAGCATTGGCATAAACTGCCAGTGCAGTGTAGTTTGCTCTGTACTGCTCTTGGACTCCAACCCAAGTAAGCTGTAAAGCTGTGGAAGAACAGAACTCGTGCCTAGGTTTTGTCAAGGAAGAGGGAGATCAAGAGTAAAGCCTCTCTCCCAGAAAATCTCTGCAGTGTCAACCAAGCCCCATTACTGATGCTTCTTCTGCTGTAAATGACTTTTTATTCTGACTTTTACAGAGAGTTCCAAATTACTCCTTTTTGCTCTGAACTGGTATGCTTCAGTTGAAGCTGAAACCCAGCAAGAACTTAATCTAAAAGTGTGCTAGACACAGTGCATTCATGGAAGGTCTCTTGTAGAGCCTGGTCTCTAGCAGAGGGTTGGTCTAGCTGGATTTACTGGAAGCTTGCCATGTTCCCTGGCATGTGCTTATCTGAACCTGCCAACACGACATATTTTGGCTATGTCTATGCTAGTAAATAAAATAGGCCAAAGGTATTAGTGGCTGACATCCATGTTCATGTAACTAAGTTCTCCAGATCTCTAGGGAAAGTGGCCTCATCATATAGGGTGCTTATGGAGTAGCATTCCAAGACCTGTGCTAGACCCTCAACTCTACCCATGTGGTTTTGGATAGTCAGTGCTGCTACCTCACTAGCAGCAGGTGATCCCGAGCCATGACTTAAACCCAAGTCCCAGTCTTGTGCAGTTTAGATCCAGATGTGGTGTGAGGGTTGCTACACGCCACTGTGGCACTAGGATTTTTCTTACTATTACCTTGGTAATGCAGCCATATTTCAGTGATCTGCTTGGAATTAATGGCATGCAATACAATAGAGTTGTGGGGTTGGGGTTTTTTTCTGAAGAACAGAACTAAAATTTTTTCAAACTCTAAAAAAATCACATTTGTTCTTTTTTCTCTTTGAACAGGGGCATGCAGAGGGACAAAGCACTCTACCTTACCTGAAAATCTGAAACACCTCTCCTTTCCACTGAGGAATGCAGGGAAGTCTTTTCATCATGGATTGCTTTATGCAGTCAAGGCAGTTCTGCATTTTATTAGGAAATACAAGTTGCTAAGCACTTAGGACTATTTAAGCTTGTGGGTCACCCACTCTGGAAAAAAATAGTCTTGCTTCTTTCTTTTTCTTTTTTTTTTTCCCCTCCCCTCATTTTTTCTCTTTCTTTCTCCTTTCCACCCCTACCCTGAGATCCTTTAACGGACATTGCTTTTCTTCTTCCCTGAAGGAAACTTGGACCATTCAGATTTTATGTTGGTTTTTGCTGTGAAGTGCTGCGATAGTAACTGCCTTAGCAACTGTAGATGTCTCGGATAAAAGTCCTGGATTTTCCATTGGTTTTTCATAATGGGTGTTTATATGAAACTACTAAAGACTTTTTAAATGGCTTGATGTAGCAGTCATAGCAAGTTTGTAAATAGCATCTATGTTACACTCTCCTAGAGTATAAAATGTGAATGTTTTTGTAGCTAATTGTAATTGAAACTGGCTCATTCCAGTTTATTGGTTTCAGAATAAGGGTTAAATTGGCAAACATTCATATTTTTACTTCATTTTTAAACAACTGACTAATAGTCTATATTTTCAAAGTATTTGGAGAAAAAAACATAAAATAGTCCCAAATGATATTAATTAAAAATATTGGCTTTGTCTCATGAAATAAACACCAAAAAAACCTAGGAAGAAAACCCTAATATTGATAAAGAGCAAACACATTTATTTTGTACTGCCTAAAAATGCTTCTTTTTTTTAAAGAAAATCACTTTATGTGTACTGGTTAGTAAATGTCATTTAAGTCCTTTTATGTATAAAACTGCCAAATGCTTACCTGATATTTTATTAGATGCAGAAACAGATTGGAGACAGCTAAATTATAACCTCTACATATGGCTATGTATTATTGTTTCTTCATACTGTGTCTGTATTTAATCTTTTTTATGGAACCTGTTGCGCCTATTTATGAAATAATAAATATAGGTGTTTGTAAGTAAATTTGTTAGCATTTTAAAGAGGTTTCTTTGACGCTTTAACTTTTGCTGGCACAAATTGTTCACAACTGATGTGAATACTTTATCTAGTTTTTACAGTGACATCAATAACACCATACCTGCTTTAGTGGCAGAAAATGAAGGTAACCAATAATTATTTCTTTATTTCTTTGGTTGTTAAGGAAAAGAAAAAAAAAGTTTTTTTTTAAGTAATTCCCTTTTTAAAGCATTGTAGCAGGAAGTTGCCCAAAGCTAAGACTTGAATCAACAAAACTAACTGAATAAAACTGCATAATGCTGTTTCTTGAAACGCCATAATTTTTTGTTAATTAGTCAAGTGGAATAAACATAGTACCAAAAGAAATATTACCAAATATGCTTCAGCCATTTTATTATATATGCAAAAGGTACTACAGAATTTTAGGGAGTGTTACCAGAAATAAATCCTAAAATGAAAGGTAAGTTCAACAGCCACAGGGAAAGGGATAAAATTATCCAAAAGAAGGTATTTTGTCAATGTTTGGGATCAGGGATAGCTCTGAAAATACACTTCTGAAGGATTTCATCCTAGATGCCTGTCCCATTAATGGAGAGTATCACTGATTTGTATTTTCTATGTGAAATAAAGAAAGCAATTCAGATAGACTACACATTATGCAATACCATTGATTTTTTCTTTATAAAACAAAACAGAAACAAAGGCATGCTTGCTTTTGAATGATTTCAGGCAATGTACAATCGGAATCACTTGGCATGTAATAGCTAATAAATAATGCAGATCAGATGTGATTACTCAAATGACTGTAGCTGAGAGCTCTAATTTTCCTGTCTTGAAACTGTATGAGAACTTGTGATTAAATTCACAGTTTATTGTTTGTGTTTAGTACTTTAGAAATATACCAGCACTACTAATTACCCAATGTCTTCTATTTATTATATTATAGTAAACTACATTTTCCACTCATATTAATTCTAAAGTGAGAAGATAATTACTGGGAATGAGAAAAATCGACTTTGATTTAGACAGGCAGTTTTCCTTTTTCTTTTATGGAAAAGAACTGTGTTATCTTCATTTCTTTTAGAGCAGGTGTGCAGTCACATAAAGTTGTTAATTTCGGTATCCAAGCAGAGTTCAAAATACAAGAAAACTTTAATGTAAATAAAAAAATACATCATGAATAAAATACTTATTCTGTATGAACCTCTGGCTAGTTGGCGTCTCAGTCTGTAAGCATGGGAACCTGCAGTGTGTTTGCCATGCAGCACCTTACCCATCCAGTGCTCTGAGTCTGGTTCTGTCTGAATGGGACAACTGTGCTGGAAGAGCAGCAGCTTTGGCCATGGTTATACTGAAACCACTTTGTTCCAAAAGAAAGATCCAACTTCAATGCATGAATGTCAGTTCTTCAAGTCTGACTTTGGGAAAAAGAATCGGTTGCCAGCCAAGGGCAATCTGCTATTTGTTTTCAGCTGTCTATTGACAGATAGAAATTGTCAATAGATGGTGAAACTCCACTGGAGTTCATGAAGATGTGCTCCATGCTTTTCTGAAATACTGTGGCTTAGGCCTCACAGTAACACATATACCCAAGTCCCTGGTTCCAAGTCACCATCTGTCCTAACATGATAATGAGAAAGCACACAGGAACTAAACAATCTACACATTGAAGCAGCACAGTAACAGCAAGTAAATATGATTAAAAACATCTGTCAAAGTGATAGAAACCAAGGGAACTAATGTCTTTCATTAATTGAATTGAATATATTTTTAAATTATTTTTTAAAAGTGCTGAGCAAAATGCAAAGCTGGTAACATCTGCACTCTACAGGATGTAAATCCCATTTGCTTGCACCAAGGTAAGAAGACGTTTTGAAAGGGAAAGGCTCTTTGAATTTACTGCTGCTCTCAGTGTGCCTTGTTCCGGTGACATGAGTCCCAGTCTCTCTATCCCCAGACTCACAGGGGTTTGAGCAGAAATTTCACCTAGTGCCTGCCTCTGACCCACAGATGCTGTTCAGAGGGACCTGTTATAGTATTCCCCCTCACACACATTCATCCACAGGCAGTAAGTAATGTATGCATGGAGAGCCTCAGCCATTCACTGTGAAATATAATGTATTCATGCCCACTTCTCTTTCTCTCACCAAATACCAGCTCCTAATTCCAGTGGCATCGCTGCCAAATGTTCCCTGCGAGGCTCCTCTGTAAACAGGAAACCCAACAATAAAGAAGCTAATTACTGGAAGGTAAAACACACTCTTACCACCTTCCTCAACCTTTTGAGACCTCATCCCACCCTGAACTACCACCTCCAAGTCTGTATCCACCTGTTTCTTACCCAATCCTGTAAACATGGCAGACTCTGGGGAAATGGAGTAGGTAAAAATCCTTATTTTACACACACTGTGAGAAGTAGCTAAAAAGCTGATATGTAGTCCACAAAGGAATTCCTCCCATTGGTAAAGAGACAGATAGAGGTATAGATATATATGCAGAGAAGAAGATAAGATAGATAGACACACAGACAGATATACAGCTATTGCCCTGTTAATTATCTGGTGTTTTGAAGTCCATTTGCATATAAATAAAATATTGTTTGGTGAATATAGCAGTGTGCTGGCAGTGCTGCAGGAGGTGCTGAGCACCTCGGAGAACACAGGGTGCTTTGTGTCAGGCCTCACAGACAGCATTTGCTTTCCTTTGCAAAGTCATGTATTTTATTATTACCCAGCAGCACATTAAATCACAACTCAAATGTAGCTCTTACTCCACCAACAAGAGGACAAGTGAGAACAATGACTTGTAACATTTCAGAGTCTGTCACAGTTACTGCCTAATTAGAGAAACCCACTAGCAAATGTGCATCTGCATGGATCCTGTGACTATCATCATTTCACATTCTATTAAGGGCTTGCTGCGATAGACACTTTACAAAGAAATTTTGTTAGGCTAATACCAAGCTGGCAAACATGTAATTGGCCAGAAAATAAAACAGGAGAAAAAAAAATTGCAAAAGAGAGAGAGGAAGGGGAAAAGAAAAGGAAAGCTACCTATTTGGAAAACAAGGTGTGTGCAAAAATCCACAGTATACTGCAGAGAAGATCCTTACCCTCTGACAATTGTGTGTTTACAACGAGTCTGAGCATAATTGCTCTGATGGGCTGTCAAGGAAAAGATTAATTTGGCAAAGATTAGTATTGACTTGCTGTTTATTAAGGCTTTTAAACAGCTGTATCTGGCAACATTCCTGTAAGTGCCTGTCATGTCTGAAAATCAGGCTCACACCCGGGTGCTTGCCAGCTGTTGCTAAACAATCTTACCACTTAGAGTATCTTTCTCCAGGCCAAACAGCAATAGCAAAGTATTGCCAAATCAGTCTCTTTCATCCTGTCACTTTTCAGGGGATCTGAGAGCTCAGATATCAGTTGATGGCTGAGCTGATAGCAGCTGCCAGGAGAGGTATGTCAGAGAGGTGCTACACGAACCTGTTCCCCATGCCGAGGGGAGGGTGCTGCTGTTAGTCACCTCACCGACGTGGAAAACTGCAGCTTGCAACTGGTGTAATATAAAGGGGTTTTAAACCCCTTAACACCTGTGATCTAATTTGGGCAGGAGGTAGAACTCCAGAGCGAGTGGCTCATCCCCTCAGGCTGTGATGGATAAAGCCAACAGGCTAGGAGGGTGTGTGAAACTACAGTAGACACCATTAATCTTTATAAAATGAGCCAATATTTTCTTCTATGATTTTTTTCCCCCAGACTGCTGATAAACAAAAGTCATTAAGCCATGCACACAAAATACCCTGGGTCAGTGGAAACCTGTAAAAGGAAAGGTGTCAGCTGTTATTTTTGTTAAGTTACTTAAAACATTTCAGCTGGCATTGTAGGCTTTAGTAGCAAGCTCAGAAACAAATAATACCAATGGAAAGAAGGATAAACGGCTGCAGCTAAATGCCAATACAAATAGCCATGTGTTACAATTAAAGTTGATTTGGCCTTTCAAATAGAAGTCTGATTTTCTGGGATTAATCTCGACCTTTTCAAGTTGCATCAGGCTGAAATAAGTTGTCAGAACAGATGTGAATTTTGTTTGCAGAGAACAATTGTAATCCAGTAACCCTTAAAACATCAGGGTTTTCCAGACTGCTGGCCAGCTGAGCAGTGAGGATGTGGACGGCAGATACTGAGCGCACACAGCAGGCAGGACCAGAGAACTCATAGGCATGTCCAGAGGCTGGATGTTTAGGTCATAAAATTTCAAACTGGAACAAAATACTTTTCCTTTTAACTCTGAATTTACCAAACACCAGGGTGTATACACAACCACTTGGAAAAAAAAAAGAAAAACTTGGATCAAGGATGGATATATTTGTAAAACGTGTTCTTTAGCTAAATCAAACATACAAGTAGGTGATATTCTGTGTGCCACTGTTTCACAGAAGGCTGGGCACACATTTTGTAATGCAGAAGTCTCTGAAAGCTCCAAGAATCACACATTTCAGATGCTGCTCTAAACTAGCTTTCTAAGAAGTTCTGCCTTACAATCTGCCTGGATCCAGTACTTTAAAAAAAATTTCAAAAAAAAAGATGAAGAAAACCTCTAGTGAGCATTCAGGTTTTTCATACTTTGATGCATAGAGTCAAAAACTTACCAGTTCTATGCACAGCATATATGATGACCCTGGTGCTCCCAAATTGCCAAGTTTCAGTGGAAAGTCAAAAAAGTCCAAAACCTTTCCAATATGGGCTGGGGGTGTGGGCACAAGGGCTATTCACCTTACTGTGCTGGCACAGCACCTGTGGCAGCATAAGCCCTCTGCAGACACAAAGCCTGCAGTTTGCTTTTGTAATACTGACTTTCTTCACAATGAAACACTCGGATCCATCAGTGCAGTCATATTATTAAATACTGAAATTACAAGAAAGATTTTTCCTGCTGTCTATGCAGCATGGCTTAGATAGCAACATGAAGATCCAACGTTCATTCAAAAATGTGTCACCATTTGAATAAATAAGGCTGATGCCCTAATTAGTAGAGGAAACCTTCATGTTTTGATATCTACCTTTGCTCAGAGTTCAAAATAATGAGCTGAGCCTCTTCACTCCTCTGGTGCACAAGCATGTGCTACATGGTTTTGTTAAAGAGATGAATATGAAAGGAAGTAAGTGATGTGCCCAGGGACACAGAGTAATTTAGAGGAAAAGTAGGAAAGGATCTGAGAGTTTTGAAAAACAGTCTTCTGCTTTAGACATAACTGAAGCTCAAAAACTGTGAAGAGGTGCTCAGATTCACAAGGGCAGCTTTAACTTTATTTTACAAATAATAAATAGGGAGAAGTTTCCAGGTTTTATTTGTCTTTAGCAGTTTTCTAC